AAAATAAAAATTTGGTCAATTTACTTTCGTAAAAAATATTTTCATACTTAATATTTCGACATAGAAGAACTGTAAATGTATTTAAGGTTTACAAAAAAAAGCAACACATATTAGTTTAGGAAAACCTTGTGACAGTAACAACTTCGCGTTGGTATTAGATTAAAATACATTTTAACACTTAAATCTAAGTAATTTTACGATTCGGGATTTTTGTTAAGGTAAACTTAGGTTGTTTTTTTTAATTACATAATACAGTAAAAAGCTTATGATATTCATATATTTTATTCTCTAGAGCTCGGCATTTATGATAAGATAAATTAATAATAATAATTTTTTCTTTAAATTTTGATCTAACGTAATTTATTGTTATAACTGTATGCTGGTCATGATTCTGTGGTTAATGAAGATAAAGAAATTAAGCTTTATTTATTAAAATTCTTTGAAAATTTAATGTAAAATAAGTATAATAATACAAATGTTCTAATTCTCCCAATACTAACGACATTAAATTTGAATCTTTCACTACAAATCTGAAATTTGATTTTCTAAAAAAAAAAACAGCTTTCTTTTTTACTCACTAATCTCTAAATTATTGAAGTTGGTCTTCTAGCTCTCTTTTTAAGCTAGAAATTATATACTGGATGATTGTTATTCGCGTAATGTTTTCTTAAAAAAATAGTATAGGGTTTTTAAACTAGGTTAGACTGTATATCTGCTCTGCTTTATCGTAAAGTTTTTTTAAGTTTCGGTAAATTTTTTGTCATTAAAAGGTCGTGATGATTTAAATGGTTAAGCTACACGTACAATGAGGATAATGTATTCGACACAATAATACTGACAGTTTACTTTCACATTAGAAAAATTACATGGATATCTAATTTACAAAATACATGCTGCAGAATGAGTGAATCTTTATCACTGTAGTGAACTATCATATTACACCAAGTCCGTTACAGTGATAAACTTCTCCAGTTTTCATTGTACCTCTCTAAATGTAAAAATGTAATTTCGTAACACAACCGCAATTACAAATCCAATTTCTGCTTATCTATCGCTATAACGATAACCTTACGTAACGGATCATCGATGACTTGTGCATTAACATCATCGAGTTCTAATCTTATCACGCATTCGGAAACAATAAAATGGCAGGTATATTAAAATTTAACTCGCATAAATCAGAACTTTTCTATTAAAAGAGCCTTTATGCATCTATTTGTTATTTGACGATGGATAACGACAACTTAGGTGCACATAATTTTGTTATATTTAGCAGAATATGCAATAAGTGCTTTTGAGACATTAAATGATCCTGATTTCAATCCCAATCTTAATCGAAGAAAAAAAAATGTATCGAAGATTTTACCACAGGAATTAATTCCTCAAGATGTCAAGGATTTCTGCCCTCCGGGCTGTGCGTGGCTATAACTAAACGACAATGCATTATAGAGAGGATGTTTTGATTATGTACATGTGCAAATATGGCGTTTTTATGAAAATGTGATTACAAATCTCACTTATTTATTAACGAATCTGCTGTAGATGGAGATGAATATAAGATCATTGTAGACATGAAAACAATGAAGGCATCAAAGACAGCTAATGAATCAGTCATTGACTAAACTCAAGAAAAATAGAATAGAATCTAAGAGAGTTGCAATCAAACTCAGATACAAGAAAAACCTGGATAATATCGTAATCAATTGGCAAGTATTTGGACTGAACGATTTAATTTTATCTGTGATCAGATTGATGCGGTCCCTAATAATCAGGTCATTTTACTCCAATATTATTATTATCTTAGAGAATGCTTAGAGGAAATGACTTGGGGTGATCTTGTAGAAAGTTACAGGAAAAATTTACGGAGAATAAAGAAAAGAAGGTATGGCGAATAGTCTCTAGAACCTATCGCCTATATCATAAGAGAGGGTTTTATAACCTCTTAACTAATCGCTCTATCACCACCAACATCCTTTATAGGATGATGGAGAACGACTTTGTAACTTTAATGGAAGAAGCTGAGAGAGTTTGGAACCTTGAACTCTCTTGAAATCAATGAATCCTTCACAAGAGCTCAGGATTAAGGAAGGGAGTATGTCACAGTTTCCCCATGACATATTTCCTAGGGTTAGATGGTCATGATAATTCGTATATTTTTTATTTGTTTATTTTCTACATTGGGTAACGTTTAGAATAAGACATGCGAGGTATATCTAAATTTGGAGGAAACTAGTTGTTGTGAGATTGTAAGTTGAATTGAGAGATGGGTTGTACGATGGACAACCCATCACAAGATTGTTAACAAACTTGTAGTAAGATTGCATACAATCCGTGTAAGATAGGAGATAAATGATTGTAGTGGATAAAGTTTTGTCATGCTAGTTGCTTTCAGCGAGTTTGGTTTCAGTAATGCTGATTATATCGTAGTTTT